CATTTTACAAGGATTTTCATTTTGTCCAATCTTCTGCACTGTCAGCTGAACAAAAACGGTTGTATTTTTTTCTGAAGAAACACAAAACTTAAAAAGATACATATAATTCATACCTTTTGGGAGTACTTGTTTGCTTTTTCCATTTCAGACACAATAATAGTGATGTCATCACTTTCAAAAATACCTAATAATCAAATACATGCTAATCAGCTTTTTTAAAATATACAGCAATTTGTAAAGCTTGCCAAATTATCAACTGAAAGAATCAAAAAGCCTTTGTTTCCTGTAAGCCTTTGTTTTCCTTTTAGGTCCAGGCAGTCTGGACCTAACACATTAGCAACTACATTTTAAATGCACATCTTTAAAATACCTAACAGAATTCAAACAGGGGGGAAAAAAATCAAATTCATGCATTAAGGCTTTTTTATAATATTCTGCAATACAACTGAAAGCCCCAATCAAACTAGGACCTCTGGTTATATCTCAGTGCTAGCATAATACTATCACATTCTAAAAAAGTAAACTACTTGATGGGGGGGCACTAATAAATATTATTTAATGAAAAAGAAGTATGTGCTGACTTTCCTTTTCACATACCTTCTTCTCCAAACCAATGAAATCTCCCATAGGATCCCTGTACTATTTCTTTAAAAGCAATTGCAGTTTCAGTTGGGTTAGCATAGCGGGCTGGAACGATCCCATTAGAGTCAATCTCCTCCATTACACTGAACAGACAGACATGAAGCTGTAAATCAAAACCTCTGCAAACCTCAGCCACATATGCACTGATTGTGTGCTGGAACACAGAGGGGAGGGGAAAAAAAATTAACTTATCAGTAGTGACCCTCTGCCTCAGATGAGCTCCCACCTACTCCACTGAACTGATGTACAAACACTCGCAACCTGAGCAAGTCAGTCCAGGAACATACCCTGAGTAGCTGAATGCCTCCTCAATTCATGCATATACACCAAACCTGTGACTATTACTAGTGACAATGGCAACAGCATTACTGCAGCCAAGAAGTGAGATGGGGTAACTATGGAAATCAAAGACATAGGCCATGGACTTCAAGATAGCCATGCACTGAAGCAAAGAAATAGGGACAGAACTACCCATTTGGCTTTTTGTATGCATCCTTTGTTTTCTTATTATTCACAAAGGCTTTTAATGATTTCTTAGGTTTGCCCAGAATTTCCAGAAGTTTGGTAAGAAAAGCAAGAGACACCCTACTGTGCATGCATGGTTACTGCAGTTGGGTTACCATAGGTTCAGAAACTCTAAGCTCTGCACATGACTTAGTCGCAGAGCACATGCACTACAAACATATATCCAAGCAATGGATTACAGTTACTACACTATGGATTTCCACAGTAAAACTATTTGTGGCTTTGTTTCCATGAGCTATAAGAAATAATATCATACAAAAAAAATCAGAGTTGGTTTGTTCAAGCTCAGAAATTTGTAGTGAAATGATGGCCAGAGCTGGAGTGGGAAGGGAATCCTAGAAACACTTCCTGAATTTTCTGTGATTCACACATTATTAATAATTGCTATAATTCACAATTGCTACCCCCAACACTCAATGAGCAACTGCAGAAATGGAAGTTTAAGATCCTCACAGTTGTGCTGGCTTAGATATGTAAAGAAGAAGTATTTGCCAACAAGCTATGATGACTAGAAAAGAAAAAGAAACAAAAAATGGGAACTTACAGAAAGGCTGCAAAACCTGCAATAATACTCACTGTTTCCTGATCAGGTATTCCAGTGGTCAGCAGGTAAAGTCCTTGTGATTTGTGTTTATCCTTGTCTTTGAAATCTATTTCCACAGCTCTCCTGAGTGCACTCATGAAATTTCTACTCCCTTTGCACTGCAGGCTTAACACCCACCTAAAAAAAAAGATGTTTACAGTTTGAAGAATGAAGCAACAAAACCTTTTGTTTCTGCTTAAAGCAATAAAGAGAATGGAAACTCTTAAATACCACTGCTCTGGAGTCTACAATTTTTGACAGACAGAGAGCAAAACCAGATTATATAATGACCAAAATTATTTGTTCTAGTTTCTGTACTGCCACGGACAACTAGATTTTAAGGTAAGATCTGGAGCATAGAGAGGGTAGAATTCTCTCTTATGTGGAAAAATTGTAATATAGCAGAACTAGAACTTACAGGAATAAAAATGAAATGACAGAAGTGTAATGAAACCACCAAGGGTGTGATTCCACAAAGAGAAACCCAGGATTTGTTTCCAGTGTATGTGAGGAAAAAACATAATTTAGCTTTCACATCCCAGTTCAATTTGAATCAGTTTTCAACTCATCATGTCACCTGTGCATTTCTCACACAGACACTTCCGTACATGTGTAAATATATATTCTGCATACATAAAAAATACAAAGTCACTGCAACACATTAAACTTTATATGCTGTTTTCACAACAATCCATCATGAACACATGAATCTGTATGAAGACAGGCTGAAAAAGTTGGGGCTGTTCGGCCTGGAGAAGAGAAGGCTGCGTGGAGACCTCATAGCAGCCTTCCAGTATCTGAAGGGGGCCTACAAGGATGCTGGGGAGGGACTCTTCATTAGGGACTGTAGTGGTAGGACAAGGGGTAATGGGTTTAAACTTAAACAGGGGAAGTTTAGATTAGATATAAGGAAGAAGTTCTTCACAGTGAGGGTGGTGAGACACTGGCACAGGTTGCCCAAGGAAGTTGTGAATGCTCCCTCCCTGGCAGTGTTCAAGGCCAGGTTGGACAGAGTCTTGGGGGACATGGTTTAGTGTGAGGTGTCCCTGCCCATGGCAGGGGGGTTGGAACTGCATGATCTTAAGGGCCTTTCCAACCCTAACTATTCTATAATTCTAACAATCAGTGTAGAACAATTCACAGCAATGTATCATTATAGTATATTAAACTTACTAGTTTTCTAAATTGTTCACAAATCTGTTTCTCGGTTCTACCTGTGTCAGTACCTATGATCGCTTCACATTCAGATGTATGGCAAAGTTATTTGATCCTACCTCCAAGCCTTTTGTAAGTTTTCTGGTTGGGAAGGAACCAGTTCCAGCTGCCAAGGCACAATATCACTCCCAAATCTTTCACAGCAATGGAAAATAACAGCAATTAATTTTCAGATTTTACTTTAGAACAAGCAAAAGGAAGAAATTCACCTTAAAAGAAAACTCTCATTTGGGGTATTACAGATGTAAAATTGCCTGTAAAATAGCTACTTTCTATTTCAAACCATTTAATTATGCACATTTATCCACCACTCAGGGGTTGTCAGATTTTCAAGGCAGTGGGCCAGACTACATCCTTCTTTCTGAACAGGACCCTAAATGAGCTGGTAAAAAGCTCAGCAGAAGGATTGTGACAAAAAAAACACTCCAATCTTCAGATGCTGCCTGTATGTCTTTTGAGGGGTAAGGGCTCTGTTCTCCCACCAGGTTTGGAACTCCATGAGCTGCTGTCTCTTGCTTTTACCTGCCAGTCATAAACCTGTCCAGCTGCTGTTCAGCAATTGTGCCATATGTTTCTGACTCCCAGTGTTGAGTACAGAATTTTAGTACTATTATATAATTAAAAAGTATGGGAGTTACTGTAAATGTAAAGGGCGTTCTCAGTTACACCACCTGAGACACCAATAGCCTCTTCCAGTAAAAACTTAACATATGAATTAATACTGCTATGAACAATCTAGCAGGAAGAGAATTTGTAACACATATGACACAATCAGTTCCAGTAAGCATCATCCAAAACCGTGATTTTTAATTACTAATCTGGTGTCTGTACATCTGATCCATGCACTTATCCAGTAACAACAAATTGGTGGTACTCTCCATCATAAAATGTTAAATACAATGAAAAAATCTAAAATATGTCCATTAGTAACTACAATCAGCACACTTCTTTCATTGCAATGTGCTACAATTATTTTAAAAGAACCTTAAAGAGTTGCTTACGCTATAATATTGAAGCAATCCTTGTTTGACATTTGTTCTTCAAGTAAAAGTCGCAAAGAATGTTGGATATGGATGATGTACATAGAGTTTGTCACTGATATATCAACAAGTATAACCACCCTAGATAAGAAATACATTATTCATCAAAGAAAAGCGACAAATCTTAATTGCACATTCTTATCTTCACTATACTCTAACTTGCCAGAGAAAGTATTTTCTAGCTGTTTATCAAAATGTATAAACACAATCTGAATTTAGAAAAAAATCTGCAAAACATAAGGTGAGGTTTAAAAAAAGTAGTAACAACAATGGAAAATTCTGAGGGTGCTGAGCCACTGGCACAGGTTCCCCAGAGAACCTGTGGCTGCCCCATCTCTGGCAGTGTTAAAGGCCAGGTTGGATGGGGCTTGGAGCAACCTGCTCTAGTGGAAAGTGCCCACGGCAGGGGACTGGAACTAGATGAGCTTTAAGGTACCTTCCAACCCAAACCATTGTATGGTTCTATGTTTCTCAAGCTACACAACAATCAGGGTGCCACCACATATAGTGCCATAATGGCTGTTGAACCCTAAACAGGTCCTCTTTCTTCTCTGTACTTGAATATCCAAAACATGCCTGAAAAGCATGGATGACTCTCATGGGTTCTTATGGGAAGACGAGCTTCAACCAACCACCTCCTTTGTGCAGAAAAATTCTAGACATAAATACTAAGAGCATGTGTGAAAGCTGACTGTAAACAACACCTCTGGCCATCAGGTTGTCTTCATGTTTGATTTATGATAGAACATTCCCCAAGGGCTTACTTGCCAGATAACTCAAATTTAGGAGTCTCATCCTGAGTCATGGAAATTGCCATTTTGTGTTGACCAATGATCACTGGATTCTTTACATTCACTGGATTATTAAAAAAGCTTAATATCAATATCTGTTTTCAAAAGTGGACTGCTTACACTAGTCATATCTGCAACCATTGTCTCTACTTCTTGACTGTTTTCTGCCCTGTGTTCCTTGGTGCTGACTTCCACAAAGTGCAAAGGCTGGCAAACTAGAACCATACGTGAAGAAAGAACTATCAAAGTACGATACCTCCTTTCACAAACACTTCCCCATATTCTTCTGCTAGCAACAGATAGCCAGTCAATTCGTTTCTCGTAGATTCTTACCATTTTAACAAGGAGTTTCTATGGATAAAATACAGAAAATTTAAGTTAAAAGTTCAAGTAAGTCTTTTATTGCCAAATGCAATGTGGCATGACATGTAACGTGTAACACGACAGCAGAGTAATGAAAAAATTAATGCATTTCATTCATTTTGACAGCAGCATTTCATTCTTTGTAAAGATAAAGAGAATACAGTCCATAAGAACAGACAATGATAAAAAAACAACTAAGGGTCTAAAGGTCTTTTTTACAAGCTTCTCATTTCTTAAATAGCATTTTTAGGCAGCGTTCATAACAAAACACATCATTTAAAATAAACACAGTATTTTCAAACACGTATCATTCTTTAACATAGTATCAATTTGAAGACATTAAGGCAATTTGTCCAAACTCTACAGAACATGACCTTTGCAAGCTTGTGTATGAAGGCAAATCAAGCTAGAAAAGGGACACTGAATTCAGAAATAAAGCTATAAGGTAGCATGCTTTTGGAGCACAAAACACACACATGTGATGGTGATCAAGGAGCCAGAAGCTGCTTCCATGTCAGCTAGTTAAACTTTACACTCTCCTTTTTGACCCAACTATAGAATTCTACAGATTTCTCACCCCTCCTCCATTTTAAAGAAGTATTTGCCCTGCCTGGAAACATTCACACAGCCCTCTGCCACAACTGCTACTGGAGCTTCACAGAAAAGCGAAAAAGAAAAAGAATGAATAGACCACTATATAAGACACCCTACCTGCAAATATCTCCAAGCACCTTCTACCCTTCTACTTCATTAAACCTGGTCCACCCTCTGATGACCTGCATTCTTACCAAGGAGGAAATCCTCAGGAATAGCTACTGCCTGCAAGAATTTCATCAGCCTTCATGATGTTATCTGTATATTTATGTATCTCTGCTTCTTCTACACTTAAAAGAGCAAATGAAGACCTCAATACCTCATACAGTTGAAACATCCTCCTGGTGCACCAGTAGTTTTAAGATTACGTGTTGTAGGAGCACTGTCGAGGCTAAAATGCTACTCTTGGTAAAAAAAAATAACTTCAGAGTGAATTACTCCTCATGTGACCATTTCGCAATCACATAGAACTTCTTAGATTTGGATCTCATCATTTCATAGTGGACACAACTAGCTAGATGATTATCTAGCCTTTCCAAGGCCGTATCATATCACTAAAGACAACTCACCTGATAGTTGTACAACACCGGCAGGTCAACATGGATATTTTTCACAGTTCCATCATACCATTCAAACTGCATCATTGCTTTCTAGAAGGATAAATAATACAGTTATATGTTTACAGAAGCCTATATAAGCTACAGTAACATGGAATTCCTTCCTGAATCATTCTTAAGAATAACTCAAGTATTTGATCTGAATCAGTGACTCAAATTTCAATTAAAACCTGTAGAATTTCACTAAAGTACTGATTTTAAATAGAGAAATGTACAAATTGAAAGAAAAAAGGAAGAAAAAAGAAAATCAGAAAAAGTCCTCATTACCTACCTCATGTAGAGTTGATGATACTGTTTTTTTAAGAATAGGTACAAATTCTTCCACAGGAGAGAAAGCACTGGGAGCCAGAACTTGATAAAGGTTTAACTTTTTAGCTATAGCAAGAAACAAAGAAATGAAATAGAACACATGCTCTGCCTTGTATTCATGTGTCATACCTGTTAAGCTTTTCTTTCTGTGCTACCTTTCAATCCATATGTCTTCAACCATTCTTTTGAGGTTTTGGCCAGGGCACATGGTGTTTGAATAACCAATGGTCCTTCATGCTTTGGAGGCTTTGGGAAGAAGTTAGAAGGTGCTGTACTTGCAAATCCTATGGAAACCTAAATTGGATTTTAAGAAAAACTCTTGCAACTTTTAGCATATATATATATATGTATTTTTTTTTTACCCATAATCCAAAATATCCACTTTTACTTATGTTTTACTTATGTTCAAACTGTTGGGATTTCAATAAGCAATTTGAAAATAGCGATAATTGATCTTGCTAAAGATGGGTTTGGGGGACAATGTTCCATTAACTCCACTGTGCTTGCCACAATGCAAAAACCCACAGGAGAATGGAAAGATGATGGTTATACATACAGGAAATCATCTTTTCCAAGAAAAGTAACTAGGAAAAGGAGCAGTGCTGACAAATTTTTAGCTTTCACGTTTAGTGACTGTAGGCAAATTTAGCTACTTCCTAAGCTTCTAGGCCCCTAAAAAGTAGAGATGAGAGTAAGGCAAAAGAGAGATGCATATTTCCACATAAGACAAGGTGAAAGACAGCCATAAGTAAATAAACTCTCTACCAGATCAAAGCAGAACTAGAATTTCCAAATATCCCACAGAAAAAAAGAAAAATCACAGGAGATTCTTTTTCTTCCTCATACTTATTTCATCAAGAGTATTTAGAAGTAACATTATTGGAGAAAAAACAAACAAACAAAGAACCAACCCCTGGTATGTTGGTCAAATAAAGCATAAAACCAGAAACATTACCAAGACAACTGCTACAGAACAAATGGCCCCAAATCCTCATGATAAACTAGGACTAACAAAGAGACAGATGTGTAACAGGCAGACTGTAGCTTCCTAACTTCAATCCTAGTAATAGATCTAGGCAAGCCCTTATTATTTTGCAACTCAAGTAACTCTCCATCTTGATCATGGAGAAGTATCTTTTTACCAATTTAAAGGACTACTGAAACTTCATTTAAATGATCATACATACAGTTAGGCCAGTGGTTCTCTTAGACTTCCATCATGATCACGGCACAATGTTCTTGTCATCATATTTTTGTTGGTTTATAAAACTTGCTGCATTGCAGAGAAATGTCTCCTTTACTGGTTTTGGCCTTAATTCGCTCTTACAATGGATGGCCAATACATAGTATTCAAAGTTCACTTATCAAAGTACCTGATTAATTATATATATATATTTTTTTTTTCCATATAGTAAACACTAAAAACTTCTACCCTGATACTTCAACATATCTGAAGTACATCTGAAAATAACAAGATACATACATCTGCCATTCTACCAACAAGTGAGTCACCAATTCTTCTTTGGAAAGTCTCCTTGATGCTCCTGAGTAGGTCCTTAGCCTTCTGGGATTCCTGAAGTAGCAGTTGAAAGTCACTGCTATCAAAATTCTGTACATATGAAAACAAAGGGGAAAAATAAGTTAACTACTATTCAAACACCAATTAAATTCAGCTTTCTTACCTTGATGTACATACATCTATACAAGATTGCCTGGAATAAGAGAACTGAGTGTAAATGTATCTAATGCACCGCAGATAATTTAGTCATCATGTAATAAACAAGATATTATTTCATTATTTTGAATCAGTCTACAACAAGCCACTGCTTTCATCCTATTCATCAGCTTTAAGTCAGTGAACATCATCTGCAAAATTTATTGTGCTTTTAGGAAAGCATTTTCAGTTGCAAAAGGAATTAACCACAGGTTTATTGACCACATCCTTAGCACTACTATGATGGAGACTTTCAGCACCAGATCTTGCTATAAACTTCTACTCGGATGATAATTAATTTACCTTTCAAAGTGAAGAATCATCAGAGAAAAATGTGTTGCCTCTCTAGCTGTCACCTACCTCTGCCTTTGAAAAGTAGCAATGGTAACGGCCTCTTACAGCTTCTGCAAGGTTCTTTAGAACTGCCTACATATATAAATAGGAAGAAAAACAGTTACTTTGATTCAGTAGTCTCTTTTGATAATGTGGGTTGTTGGAATTCAATTCTCAATTAGAGACAGAGAAAGAAGCTTTGAGGTACATGTAATGAAAAAGCCAAAGTAATTATGTTTCCATTGTTTTCTTTCTTATTTTAATACAGCTTAAATATCAACTCAGTAAAGAATTTACAAAATAGGCAATAAGGGTCAAGTTTATTCACCTTGTGTTAAAATGCCAGTCACATTCCCTTCCTTGGAGGGCAGGCTCGTGCTACTCAGATCAAAGGCATATTACTGAAGTCTACAAGTACAAACGCTAGGTTATCCTTCCCCTGCCCATAATTACCTCTTAAATACCTTCCTGCTTTTTTCATCTCTCCCAGCTCCTTCTCTCATACTATCTACCACTGCAATCCCCTTCCTGCATCCAATCTTCTGCTCATTGAAGAACCTTCTGTTCATTGCAGGGGGGTTGGACTAGGTGACATTTGAAGGTCCATTCCAACCCAAACTATTCTAGGATTCTCTTCAAACCAGGATTTCAGTCATGTCCTCCCTACTACCAAAGTTACTACATGCCTTAGGGAAAAGCTTAAACAAGCAATCAACACCTAAATCCAAGTTCCTATGAAGAAGCTAATCAAAAGTATCTGCTTATCCTTCTGTCCTCCTCTTCCTTCAGGCAGTCACTGCCAACATCCCAAACCATTGCTCATATTCACCACTTTGAGTAAGTCTACTAGTCGGATGCTATTCTGTACCGAAATATTCACATCCAGAGACTGCCATGCTCATATGATCTCGCTCCCAAGTCCCTGCCTTTTTCCTATGATCCTTCTCCATACCCGCTTGTCCTTACTGCAATATTGGCTATCTTTCTGCTTTCACCTGCAAAAGAGCTCTCAGCCCCAGAGTCTTCTCTGTAAACACAGAGGATGATTATCCGGAAATAACTGCTTCCCTTCAGCTGCTAAGCCTGTCAACACCACTTGGTTGCCACTTCTGGCTTTAGTATGAACCAAGATAAATACTCCAAAACAGATTTTTTCATGTGTGCAAATACAATGCTAGATCAAGAACTCTTTAATGAGTAGGTTAGCTTCCCCACAAGTCTATGTGAGAAGACACAGCAGCTGAACAGGAGACAAATGACAGGACACTTAAAGAAGTACTAACACAATTACTTACAAGAGAAGCAGGACTGCTGCAATCATATGTAACAGCATGGATGTGCAGTTTTCTCCCCAGCATACACTGCTGAGCATAGTCAGACAGAATTTCCAAGGACTGATCAGGGCTGATATAAATAAATAAATAAGGGGCGGGGGAAATTAACAATGGCAGTGATCAAATGCAGGAAAAAGACCATACTGAAGACAGAGAAGAAAATGAATGGGAAACAAATAACAAATCATGTGAATGTAATCCAGTCATTTAGCACAGCTTGACCTCCTCTCCCTCTTTTAACCATTACTGAGGTACCACTACTACAGTTTTGGTTCTGTCCTGAAAACCTGAAGGGTAACAAAAGCACTAAGATTCTATTCTAGTTCACAATGGCTTGTGGATGAAATGTTCCAAGTTATTCATTGCTAGCCCTGGAAGCTAAAAATTGGGAATTGTGATTTTGCCCACTGTGACAAACTGGATAGAAAAGCTTTTAACTCAGATCTTCAACCTGGAAGGATGTCCATTGTCTTCATTAAGGAAAGTAAAACTTTGCTTTGTGTTTAGAACTCAGCCACCCTAAGTGACTAGTTAGGTGGCCAGTAAAATCCCTTCCTTCCAGCTACAGTTCTGCCAGGGACAGAAATTAATGAAGTTTTCACGTGCACATACTATAAACCTTTGCCTTCTGCTCAAAGCAGATCTAAGCAAAACTTGGAACCTTTCAATTGAAACCTGAGCATTCAGTAAATTAGTTGAAGTGTAATCTCAATCTCCCTAAATATCAATCTTGCCTAAAGTTACATCATCCCATTTTTGCATATTTAAAATAAATAATAAATTCAGAGTACAGTAACACTCCCAAAATCCTTACTGTAATCTTTTGCTTGTAATCCTGACTCCAGTACTGCAGATTTTTACAACAGTAGTACTGCAGAATTTAAATCCATAATTTATCTAATCTCAGCCTCTTTTCATATACTTAAATCAGACATTTTAAGTTTTCCATCAGCACCACTGAGATCACACAGAGAATGTGGTCTCACATTCAAAGCTATATTTGAATGCTTAATGCCATTTTACAGCAAAGTCTAGCTAATCATCTGATCTAACCCAGCAGTGTGGCCCCTTTAAGTGACATCCTTAATGGTGCTGAAGGACTTTCACTAATGTAAAATTAGAGCTAGCAGACTTCCAGTGGATTAGTGTGATAACTGATCTGCAAAGCAAAAATGTAGCTTTGTATCAGAAAAGAGATTTAGAACTAGTAAAAACTGGAAGAAATAAACAAGATCAGGGATATGAACTAAACATACATAAACCCTGGATGTTAAATTTTCTATTTATTTTTCTATCAGGTTCAGATTCTTGAGCCAGTTCTGTACCCAAGTTAAAACTGGTGGTTAGGACAGATAACAAATTTACCAGCTTCCTACAATAACAACCAGAGAATTGAGTTCTTTCATCATAAGGACGTGTTTTAAGCCTTTCAGCAAATTGCAGCCTCGACCAGGCTCCAGCTGTTGTATCCACTGTCTTGCTTCATGTAGCCTGGGGGGGTGAAACAGAAAAAGGACCATGTACACTTAACATGTAGGTGCTAAATAAGATAGATTATGAAGATTACTACAAACCACAGGAGCTGCTAAGATACTTTATGCATGAACAACCAGATTGAAATCACTGACTGCACTGAAGATTCATTACTTTTTTCCTTTCTTAAAAACCACTGCAGGCACAAGATGAAAAACACTATTATCTACAAGAGATTGCTCTAACTAAATGGAGACTCTGTTTGAAAAACCTTTATTTTGGAGAGAAACTTACTTACACATGAACATTGATGTTTTTTGGACTCTCCCACAGAGGTGACATTTCTGCACTGAATGAGAGGCAGTACAGTTGCTTCTTATAACACAGCTGTTCATCTATTAAGCACTAATAAATTAAGAAATGTTATTGCATTACTATCCATGTTGCTTCTAGTAGTGTTATTATGTAAAAGACTAAAACCAGTAATTTCCTAAAAATAGTTGACAGCAGTATTTTCAGGTACCACAGAGAAAGGCTTCCATTCAGAAGTCACACAGATTCAAATATCTGGTAATGAACAGAGAGACAAAACTTGCAAACCTCTGGTAATCCCAGCAATTTGTTAAATGGGACAAGAGGCAGGGAGTATTTGTTGAACTAGTATCAGGTTTTCTCTTCACCTGATGAGCACATGCAACAACATACTGATCTAGAATGGGCCTATTCACCCACAGAGTAATTACTAAAAACATTTAACACATATTCAAGGGTAGAGCTAAAAAATAGTTCAGGTATTAAGGCTGAGCAAACCAGACTATGAGAATTTTATAAAAATAGAAAGCACAATAAAGTACAAGCTTCTTTTCTGGAACTTGAGGAAGTTACTAACCTACCAAGGTTCTGACTGTAATTGTGGAGTGCGTCTTGTTGTGACAAGCACAAGGAGTAAGGAAACTATATTTGCTATAAACAACTTGGTTCCAGCTCTTACAGCTGTTTCTGTTAGGCAAGTTTACTCCATAGAGAATACTGTTACGAGGATTGAGAAACTTCCAAATACTAATAAGGAAAGTATTATTATTACAGTACATACTGGAGGAGTTTGGGTCTAGACATGAACAAAGACTACACTTTCAAAGACATTTAAAACATAACATACTACAACAGAGAAGTTTTATATATTGTATATTATGAATTTAAGCAGGTTTTTTTTTTTTCTACTTAGTTCCTGGCTTGTAGTTACACCAAGGCTTGCTTAATACATTATAATTGCCAAAGTCTGCTTTATTATGACTTACTAAAAGATCCTTCTGAAAATCCAGCAGTCTAGGTCCATAGCTTATATGAGACACATCAACCAAAAGTCCAACTTTGGTTCCTTTTATAAGGCCAAACACCTTAAAAGAGAAAAGTCATTGTAAATACTAAGATTATCTACCGCTTAATAATTTAACTGTTTATTCTGTACACCACCATTTTAAAATCAAATATTAGGTATTTATTTGCACGTTAAGTGCTTTAGCATAAAGATGACACAGTCGACACAGCCAAGGAAGAAGAATTAAAACTGGCTCCCAGTTTATCCTCACCAGTGAATCCCATTACTTCCTTGCCAAGCAACCTACTCATTACTTGAAAGGATAAAAAATAACCTTATCTACAGCATCTCCTTTAGGTTAAATCAAGCAGCTTTGTGGAAGCCAGATTTTGGAATGCTGCTTCTTTCCCTCTCCCCTTTGAGAAGGTGTCATATCCTTTTCCAATTCCTGAGCATTCGCCCTGCTAGGCACAGTAAGTGATTAACCAGCTGTGCAAGAGAGGGCACAATGGACAAGAGAGCTCCACTTCCCTCAGAGGTTAAGCTCAGCGTTGTCTACTCCAGTTTAAATGTCAGCGAGAGGTTTTGATGATTAAGACTGCTATGAGAAAGAAAAAGACTAAATCTAGAAACCTGAATACCACATACCAATGAAAAGATCAAGAAAAATAATCCATGGACAAGTTAAGTATCAGTGCATATGATGTGTAACTCAGAGTAGATAACAAAAATACACAAGTTATGGAAGCCACACTTCACTAATATTCAAAAAAATAATTTATTCTTTAATGCCATATACAGTTCCATTCTAAAAGCATACTGCAAAGTTAAAGTTACCTTTCTGCTGTCCTGCAACAGCCACTGAATTCGCTGCTGATAAAGTTCAATCACTCTGACAAAAGGCATAGCACACATTTAGCTAAGGCAATCTCTTGCATTGTGCATCAATCTTACAAGCAACTGTTTGTCTTCATCACATCCTTCTTCTCACAGATGCAAAATCTGTGAGAAGCAGTATTTAAAACTACTGTTTCCAGTGTTCTCATACAACTGGTGGTTGCAAGGTTAACCATTTAAATACTACTTCTCCTAAAGTTGGATTAAATATGTGGCTGTCTGAAAAAGCAGAACACTGGAACGTTTTCTAATCAGTTGCTGGCTTATTCTGTTCAGAGGTAGGACTGGGTTATTTACCATGTGTACGCATGAACAACAGAAGTTCAGGCAAAACTGAATTTAGTTCAGCACACACAAGTTATTGCCAGGAAATGTATTTAATACAACCTACACTATTGCTTAAGACATTCATGAAATATAATCTTATGATTGAAAGGCAGCACACTCACTGAAGTGCCAGACTAACTGCAGCGTAACTTTCAACAATTTCCATTTCAAAGTAAGTAAAACCTGAGGTAAAACAAAGTGCTAGCTTCCTCTAAAATTGTTTTGCTTCAACTGATTTTTAATACCACATGCATAGTTTTTACAATTTAAACAGAAAGTTTAAATCAACATTTTAAAGGGCAAAATGGTTTTGCTTTTTCAAAACACAAAAGCTACTTCTTTTTAAAACCAGATCTGCAGATAGTTTGCTTAGATGATTCAGGGCCCAAGTACTGAAGGCGGACCTTGGGAGTGAGGTATGCTGAAGTAGGGGCACTCCTACGAACAGTCATACAGGTATTGTGAAGACCAGCAAAAACATTATGATTATTCTACAGCTTATTCAACCTACTGATTACATGTTTTTCTCAATTTAAGTTTCCTTGATTTTATACATTTGAAATTCACTTAGAAAACTTTTAACTTCAGTTGTCCTGACTAGATCCATGACTTGAAACTAACACAAGTTACAGTAAACATAATCCACAAATACACAGTATCACCTGTGAAAACTCAATCATTCACTAGCCACCTTTCTAAAATGAGCTAACTGCTTCAGTTCAAAACCTGCCTGATTGGCACCTTCATTAAAATATAAAACCTCAGCTGTAGTGACACAGAATTATCACCTACCCTAAACCTCAGCAGAAAGGATTTAATACTGAGATACTCTGAAGTTCCCCCAGATAACCAATTAAGATTTAAGGCTTTTATTATGTAGTTATGAGTGAGGGGGGTACAGAATCAGATATACATCAAAATCATAAACAAGACGGATACTTACTCAGAAAGTCTGGACTCAAAATCAGTAACAGTCTCTCCTGTAAACTCTATCTCTTCAACACCATTTCTTGAATTCCTGGAACACTATGCATCATTAACATCAGAGGTGTACACAACAATGACAGACCAAAGAAAGGGCAGTGTTGTACTTACAAAATAATATTGCCTTCATCTACCAGGTGCTCTAATGTTAATTGCAAGGATTCTAAACTGTAGTTTCTTAGCCATTCTTCAGAGGTTTGCACATTTTCAGACTGTATTTTCTTCATTTGTACTCTCTATAGAGTAAGAAAAAATAAATGCAATACGAGAAATGAAATGTACCGTTCAAATGTGACAAAAATATACGTCCTAAGGAGAGCTGCTAGTAGGCACTGCATGTCCAAGAACAACACAATCTTAGGTATTGGCATACTCTTTTTGATGTGGGATGCAAAGGAAAAGAAGCGCTCAGTACACCCCCAGACTGTAAGCTATTAAGAGAGCTCAGTTTGGAGAAGACAGGAGGGAAGAAAAGAGGAGAGTTTAATAGAATAACTAAAAGAAATATCCCAGTGATTTACCAGAGAGCAAAATTAAGCATCTCCAAAACCTGCCTCACAAACTTCAAAGGCGTACATATTATCTTCTCCTTTTCTGAAGAAAAAGGCAGTATCAACAACTGATCTACCTTTACTGTTTTGCCTGACTTCACAGACTGATTCATCTCTGCAGAGAAACAACATGTAATTCCATGACTTCAGAGATTATATCTATCATCTGTGTGCATACGCAAATATATGTAAGGAAACATATTAGCTGCCTATCAACGCATTTATTCCTCACTCTGTATTTATAGAGGGTATGCGTTAGTTTTCTAGTTGCTCCATTTGGCAACAAAACTCTCCTACCAGCAGATCATGTGTCTTGCTGCTATGTATGACCAGCGATCCATTATCTGGTCCTGGACGTGACTTAGTAAAATCTTGGTGTGGTGGATGAACACCCTGCAGACTGCATTTCATGGTCAGCCTACAAAAAAAATGAATTTGAATTAATGTATTACTTCATTACCCATAATATTCCTGTATTGCCATAAAGTCTTTAGAAGTTTTTTTCTGCAGGAACTGTTTTATACTTTGACATGTATTTATACATTCAATTTGATACATGATAAATGTTTTGAAAGGACACAGTACATAGCTTATACAAACTACACTTATTTACTCTGTATTTATGCATGAAGTCCCAACAAGATTTTGTAATAGGATTCTCACCCAGCTTTTTCCAAAACCTGATCATTGTCCAGCAACTGTGCTATTTTCTTGATGTGTGTATCCATTATTCGAACAGACTTAGCCTTGTTAAAAAAAAAAAAAAAAAAAAAGAAAAATGTCAAACTATTAGAGTAAAACGTTTAAATCCTCAGGAGTATACACTATTAAGAGAGGTATTAATATTGCCAGCAACTTACATCATAATTACATCGCATGTGCAACAACACCAAATTAAACCACAGCTGCAAAGAGAAATTACAATTATCTATCTACAGGGAACACAAATAGGACCTAAAGAACTATTCTGCAAGAGCTATTTGCTAAGGGATTTTACGCAGTTAATTGTATGTATGCACAGCAGGCAGCAGACTAACTATACAGCTCAACTCGAAAGAGAAGATTAACCAGCGCAAACCCCAGAGCTCCGCGATGTGTGAGGGGCAGGCAGCCGGAGACAGCCGGGCTGTGGGACATCCGCGGGGATGGAGGCGTGTGGGTGAGCTGCCCTTCAGCTTTTGGCGCATTAAGACCAGAGCAAAAACGATGATAAAATCCCGCTTTTCACTTTCCTGGGCTCCGCTCCTCACACCGCCTGTGCCCTCCCGCTCACAGCGGGTGCCAGGGCAGCCCTCTCCCCACCTCACGGGGGAAGCGCCGCTCAGCTCCACCGGCGCCGCCCCGCCCCATCCCCAGGG